GGTCTTTTTTTATTCCAGATGAATTTTTGGAGAGTTCGTTCTAGGTCTGTGAAATATGCCGTTGGTATTTTAATGGGAAGTGCGTTAAATTTATAGATTGCTTTGGGTAGTATGGACATTTTAATGATGTTGATTCTACCAATCCAAGAACATGGTATGTTCTTCCATCTGTTTATGTCTTTCTCTATCTCTTTTTTCAACAAGGTGACTCATTTTTAATCAGTTATTTTTCTGAAAGTGAGCTCTTACTTTGATTGTGATAACGCCTTGGGTGCAATTAAGCCAATTCAAACTTGTTTACAGGATTTATCAAAAGTTGCATGATTTCAGAATTTATTGGGGGCCTTTAAGATATATATTTTTTGTAATCCTTACCAAGGATATTTTTTCCATTGTTTTTTGTTTTGGTTTTTTTTTCCGAGAAAAGTGGAAGGGAGGGAGGGAGGGAGAGAGAGGAAGCATCCATGTGAGAATGACAACGTGGCTGGTTGCCTCCCGCATGCGCCAGACCAGGGCCAGGATTGAACCTACAGCCCTCCAGGCTATGGCCAACGCTCTAACCCAGCCGTGGGCAAACTACGGCCCGCGGGCCCGGATCCGGCCCGTTCAGCTGTTCTATCCGCCCCCGGGGCCAAAAGAGCGGAGGGTTCTCTCGCTCTCCCCTCCGCTCCTTCACCAGCAGCAGTGTTACCATGGCAACGTCGGGAAACACGGCCGCAGCTCCTTCTTCTGAGTCCAGTTTAAGAACCCATTGTGGCCGTCGAGTCAAAAAGTTTGCCCACTCCTGCTCTAACCACTGAACCGCCAGCCAGGTGCCTTTAATGTGTTTATGATCAATCAGGTTTTCAAAACTGAGTCTGAAAAAAAATCCCTTCAAAAGATTTAATGTTTTAAAGACACTTTTTAAAGCCACTTTACAATTTCATTTTTTGAAATACAAAGAAAATTAATCAGTGTTTTATTTTATTAAAATGTCTCTTATCTATTGTTTAATCTTATGATCCTGAGCACCGAACGGGGCTCGGGGTTGAGAATGAATGTTGACATCAGCCACTCAGAGCAAAGTCAGGGGCCTGGGTCCCCGCCTCCGTTTCCCTCACTGTCTCCAACCCTCTCTGCCTTGGTCCCGCAAGTAAGCGGCGAATCGGCTAACCATCAGCCCTCACTCACCCCATGGCCTGCCTGCTTTCTCGCTGCCGTCAGCCCCCCGACTCTCCGCCTGAAGGAGGGGGTGCTCCGGCCTCACAGGGGGTCCTGGGAAGAGGCCCAGGGCTGCCGCCAGCCCCTGCCTTGTCAGTGTCTGCACATGCAGGCACCTCTCCCTACTTTGTGGGCAAGGTGAGCGACTGTGCGAGCAAATCCTGCAAAAAGGGAAGCCCCTGCACCCCGTGTTTCGTGGATCAAGCTCGACGCCGTGCCGCGGGACCCCCAGATTTGGCGCTAGGACACTGCCCCGGCCGGACACTGAGCTTCCCCCGCTCGCACCTGCCCAAGGCGCCCACGGCCCAGGACAGCCGCTCAGGGAGGAAGGCCCACCGCGTGCGGAGCCGCTCCCGGGAAGGAGTTTCCCTCTAGCCTCGCCCCCTGGACCAGCAGCTGCATCAGAGCCTCCCCTGGCGCAGTGAGGGGTCCCCTGGTGCAGTGAGGGGGGCCCTGGTGCAGTGAAGGGTCCCATGGTGCAGTGAGGGGTCTCCTGGTGCACTGAGGGGGTCCCTGGTGCAGTGAGGGGTCCCCTGATGCAATGAGGGGTCCCCTGGTGCAGTGAGGGGGTCCCTGGCACAGTGAGGGGTCCCTGGCACAGTGAGGGGTCCCCTGATGCAGTGAGGGGGTCCCTGGCACAGGGAGGGGTTCCCCTGAGGTGGAGGGTCCCTGGTGCAGTGAGGGAGTCCCTGCTGCAGTGATGGGGGTCCCTGGCACAGTGAGGGGTCCCTGGCACAGTGAGGGATTCCCCTGAGGCAGTGAGGGGTCCCCTAGTGCAGTGAGGGGTTCCCTGATACAGTGAGGGGGTCCCTGGCGCAGTGTGGAGGGTCCCTCATGCAGTGAGGGAGTCCCTGCTGCAGTGAAGGGGGTCCCTGGTACAGTGTGGAGGGTCCCTCGTGCAGTGAGGGAGTCCCTGCTGCAGGGAAGGGGGTCCCTGGTACAGTGTGGAGGGTCCCTCGTGCAGTGAGGGAGTCCCTGCTGCAGGGAAGGGGGTCCCTGGTACAGTGTGGAGGGTCCCTCGTGCAGTGAGGGAGTCCCTGCTGCAGGGAAGGGGGTCCCTGGTACAGTGTGGAGGGTCCCTGGTGCGGGGAGGGGGTCCCTGGGTCAGTGTGGAGGGCCCCTGGTGCAGTGAGGGGTCCCCTGGTGCAGTGAGGAGTCTCTGGTGCAGTGAGGGGGGTCCCCTGGTGCAGTGAGGGGTCCCCTGGTGCAGTGAGGGGGGTCCCCTGGCGCAGTGAGGAGTCTTTGGTGCAGTGAGGGGGGTCCCCTGGTGCAGTGATGGGGTCCCTGCAGCCTCGCAGGGAGCGTGGGGACCTCGGCGAGCTTGTGGGAGAGGCAGGCAAGTGCTCATAGGCCCACGAGCTAACTCCTGACCGTTTCTCAGACTGTGGGTCCACAGGCCAGGCTCTGGCTCAACCCTGCTGGACACTGAGAGGCGGACTGGCAGGTGCGGGGGCCGGGG